AGTGTAGCAGCTGAAATCAGTTGTCTGTTGTAACATCCTGGACCAGTCAGTCAGTGCATTACTTTAGCAATGGGAGGGAGTTTGAATGCCATGTGTTGAGTCAACCTACTGTAGAGTATAGTAGTCCTGGTCAGTGGTGGAAAAAGTACTTGAGTCATACTTGAGTAAAAGTAAAGATGCCTTAATAGAAAATTACTCAAGTAAAAGTGAGTCACCCAGTAAAATACTACTTGAGTAAAAGTCTAATAAAAGTATTTGGTTTTAAATATACTTAATCAAAAAAGTAAATGTAATTGCTAAAATATACTTAAGTATTAATCATTTCAAATTCCCTACATTAAGCAAACCAGACAGCACCATTTTCTTGCTTTTTTTAATGGTTAGCCAGGGGCACACTCCAACACTTGAGACAATTTACAAACAAAGCATTTGTATTTAGTGAGTCCGCCAGATCAGAGGCAGTACTGATGAACAGGGATGTTCTCTTGATGTGTGAATTTGACAATTTTCCTGTCCTGCTAAGCATTCAAAAGGTAGCGAGTACTTTTGGGTGTCAGGGAAAATGTATGGAGTACATTTTCTTTAGGAATGTAGTGAAGTAAAAGTTGTCAAATATAAAAAGTAAAGTACAGATACCCCCAAAAACGACTTAAGTAAAAATACTTTAAAGTACTACTTAAGTACTTTACACCACTGGTCTTGTTCCGTGTTTAAATCTTCTATAGTGCCATCATGTAGGTAGATTTATACATAGTATATAAATGACATGTATATCAAATGCAATTTTCTTAGACAGTTCAGCATTTTCACTCTGGTTTAGGGTGGTGTTCACCAAAAATATCTCAGAAAGGGGAAGGCCACTGTTGAGCTAGGACTGAAGGATAAAAAAAATATATAACAATGTTAGAATGAAACTGGAACGCTTACAATGTACTGTACATGCCATTGTCTGTCTCAAAGAAGAAGAAAAATGATGGACTGTGTCCTCATGCATACCCTGGGTTGTATTCATTAGGGCACGCAATGTAAAATATTTTAAAACATTCTGCAACAGAAAATGAAAATGTGTGTTTCTTATTGGACAAGTCCATGAAGTTCCTCCCGGTTTCAGTCAGTTTTCTTCCGTTTGGTGCCTCATAAACACAACCCTGGTGTAGGACTTCTCTCATGTACAGTGGGGAAAAAAGGTATTTAGTCAGCCTCCAATTGTGCAAGTTCTCCCACTTAAAAAGATGAGAGAGGCCTGTAATTTTCATCATAGGTACACGTCAACTATGACAGACAAAATGAGAATTTTTTTTCCAGAAAATCACATTGTAGGATTTTCTATGAATTTATTTGCAAATTATGGTGGAAAATAATTATTTGGTCAATAACAAAAGTTTCTCAATACTTTGTTATATACCCTTTGTTGGCAATGACACAGGTCAAATGTTTTCTGTAAGTCTTCACACACTGTTGCTGGTATTTTGGCCCATTCCTCCATGCAGATCTCCTCTAGAGCAGTGATGTTTTGGGGCTGTCGCTGGGCAACACGGACTTTCAACTCCCTCCAAAGATTTTCTATGGGGTTGAGATCTGGAGACTGGCTAGGCCACTCCAGGACCTTGAAATGCTTCTTACGAAGCCACTCCTTCGTTGCCCGGGCGGTGTGTTTGTGATAATTGTCATGCTGAAAGTCCCAGCCACGTTTCATCTTCAATGCCCTTGCTGATGGAAGGAGGTTTTCACTCAAAATCTCACGATACATGGCCCCATTCATTCTTTCCTTTACACGGATCAGTCGTCCTGGTCCCTTTGCAGAAAAACAGCCCCAAAGCATGATGTTTCCACCCCCATGCTTCACAGTAGGTATGGTGTTCTTTGGATGCAACTCAGCATTCTTTGTCCTCCAAACACGACGAGTTGAGTTTTTACCAAAAAGTTCTATTTTGGTTTCATCTGACCATATGACATTCTCCCAATCCTCTTCTGGATCATCCAAATGCACTCTAGCAAACTTTAAAAATATTATCAGTGGTCTTGTATGTCTATCATTTCCTAATAATTGCTCCCACAGTAGATTTCTTCAAACCAAGCTGCTTACCTATTGCAGATTCAGTCTTCCCAGCCTGGTGCAGGTCTACAATTTTGTTTCTGGTGTCCTTTGACAGCTCTTTGGTCTTGGCCATAGTGGAGTTTGGAGTGTGACTGTTTGAGGTTGTGGACAGGTGTCTTTTATACTGATAACAATTTCAAACAGATGCCATTAATACAGGTAACGAGTGGAGGACAGAGGAGCCTATTAAAGAAGAAGTTACAGGTCTGTGAGAGCCAGAAATCTTGCTTGTTTGTAGGTGACCAAATACTTATTTTCCACCATAATTTGCAAATAAATTCATAAAAAATCCTACAATGTGATTTTCTGGATTTTGTTTTCTAAATTTGTCTGTCATAGTTGACGTGTACCTATGATGAAAATTACAGGCCTCTCTCATCTTTTTAAGTGGGAGAACTTGCACAATTGGTGGCTGACTAAATACTTTTTTCCCCCACTGTATATGTTTTTCATTTCACTGTATGTAACAGCAGGTCGGGATCCACTTTACGTCCTCCAACCTTGTTCACTCTCTCTTGCAATTCTACCAATGTGTTGTCAAGTATATTCATGACAGTAATAAAGATGATATTAATGACAATATTATGAAAACATTTCAGTGTTCTGTTCTTGATGATGATTGATATGAAATAAACATTGACACTACACATTCTCAGATGCCATGTTGTGGTGGTACGGTGTTGTTGTGCTGACTCGAGTGTTGATTGTGTGCACCCCTATCTTCATTTGGATGTAAAATCCATTGTAATCTTCCATTGAACCTGTTATCCTCTCTGTCCCTCTCTCTTATCTTTCTCCCCCGTTCTGCTCATCACAACATTGATTTACCAGTTCATTACGGTTTGGGCTTTCCCTCTCCTCTCTCTCTGCTCTAACATCCATTTTGAAATCAACACTTTAGCTATGTGTGTTGACACTTTGTGCAGCACAGTACTCAAGTGACCCCACCATCCTTCCCTCATCCAATTTCTTGTAACTTGGTTTTCTCTTGCCTCACTTCTACACATCTTCCTGTTTTGTGATCATGTGAATAGTTTTGATATAACAATGAAGTAGACTGATAGATTTGTATACCATCCTCAAGACAAAGAGGACATTTGGTCAATTGAAAGTGAAGAGATTAGAGCGAGTACATCTTGACTTGTTTGGTCCTATATACTGTATCAAAGCAGCGATGCGTGTGTTTTTAGGGCAACAGTAAGACCTGTTGCTCAGCAGTGGAGTCTGTCTGGTCTTTCTGAGGAAGCTCTGTGGTTGAGGTGGCTGCTGCTGAGTGGAGAGTTGCTACAGACATGCTCTTCCCCATCAGTATCATTGGGCTTCACTGAACTGAACACTACATCTCAGTGGCTGAATACAGCTTAGAGCTTAAATTTCAGCCTATAGATAGATTTTTACTTTAATGATACATGATTAGTTTACTAGTTGGAGATTCAGGAGTAAAGTTGACATTTTAGCATATCATATTGTTATATTTTAATTAATTTAAAATTTGAGCCTAAATATATTTGTTCAGCCTATTTCTTGATGTGAAATGTTGACATTTGGATACCTTTAAAGAATGAGTTATCTGGTAAGATTGTATAAAACACTTTTTTGTAGTGAGATTTTCACATTTTCCATTGCTAGCCATAATGGCATAAATTACTTCTTGCAGTCTTTCCTGCAATTAAGATTAGGAGCTTGTTTTTGCTTTGTGCTTTTAGGAAATTATCATGTACCATCTTTAAAATCAATGCTCTTTTGTTATCTCACCAGGTTACTTGACTGAACACATCAACAGGGCCAGCTGTTGGCAGAGATTTGTCATTCCTCTTTCATTAGGTGAGTTTTTACTGTACCAAATTAATTCAGCCAATGTGTTCAATCTAATCATCATCCATCTCCGCCCTATTTAGTTATGCTATTTCAAATGCCACCCTGTATCTGCAAAATTACACAGGATACATATTTCCGGGTTTTATATAGTGATCCATTGGCCCTTGGGCAAAAGATTGAACTATTCTGCCTAGTAACATAGAAAATGAGAAATATTTAGACCAGTATGAATCCAGCAGATGAAAATAAATAATGTTTGGCTGTTTTGGGGAGCCTTATTGTCCCTAGTCTTTTCTCTCATTATGTATTCAATAATCTACCCTTTGCCACCTGTAAGGCCGTGGAGAGAAAGCTCACAGGGTGTGTCTGGAGTCGGGACAATACACAACGGTCTGCTGTGTTTATTTGAATTTGGGTCATTTCTAGTCAGTCAATCTCTTGACCTTCCCCTCCCATTTGACTAGGATGAAAAAAGAAGTGTATGTTGCCACAATTTATGCAGCAATCCAACCAAGCTCAAGAGAAATGAGTATGTGCAATGACTTGGCTAATGCAATCTGCCTAGAGACGTCTCTGTAAATTGGACATAACGGACATTTAATGCCAAATAAATTACCTCCTTTATGAATAGATAGGGAAAGCTCAGCTGGAAAATACTTGGTACTTCCTTTCAACATATTTGAACTGATTTCATTATGGAGCTAGTTTTATGGTTTAAAAATGTTGTCTTCATAATTTTTGTGTCAGCAAAACCCACAGCACTGTTACTTTCGGAGTGGTTGTGTGACCAGGGCCTGTATTCATAAAGCATATCAGAGTAGGTGTGCTGATCTAGGATCAGGTCCCCCCTGTCCCTGTTATCCTATTCATAATGATCTGAAAAGGTAAAACTGATCCGAGATCAGCACTCATACTCTGAGAAGCTTTATGAAACACGGCAGTGTAGTAATGTGACAGTGTTAGTCAAAGCACTGCTGCCACCTGCTGTATGTTGGTTGATATGAATAACACCTGGACTATGTCAATTTTCATGTACATGTACTCCATATTGCAGGGTCTTCTACTTCCCTTCCATTAGATTGAGTCTACAAAACCCCCTGTGCCCCTGTTGCTTCTCGCTTCCCCACCATGCCTCGTTCTTTCCTGGTGAGGAGGGGGGGCTCTCACCCTCTGCGCCCCAAAGCAGGTAGCCCCTGCTTGAGCACGACCCTGGTGCCAGTGGGTCCCCCAGAAACAGACAAGAGGCAGTGGGGTACCCTTCTTCAGGGACAGCCGTCACCTAAGAGTGCAGTGTCTCTAGTGACACACAATGAGGCCTACTCACCACAGCCCTCTCCACCTCCAGCCCTCCACCCTGCCTCACATAGTCACCCTTACCTTCACCCCACTAGTCCCATGTCTTCAGGTAGGTGTTGAACACTGAGGCTCACCTAACACAATCTCATGTACATCTGCCAGTTGTGTGTATTATTGTTCTCTCAAAATCATTCATTATTATACAATGTTCATTTAAGCTAAGACTGAAACTGCAATATGTTTAAGACCTACTAGAGATCAGTGTTTGCTTGTAAGAAGGGGCTAATTAATGTAACGTATCAACCACCTGCTATTCTCCATCCTAAGATGGTAGAGCTGCACTGCACCACCACTCTACCTCCCCGTTGAACCCTGGCAGCCCTGCTGAGGAGGTGGGCTCTCCCCTCCTGGGGGAGACCCGACACAGAGACTGTCCCCAGATCAGTGACCACAGGACCACTGGGACTGAATGTCCATGGTGTGGAAAGGTTAGTGGATGATCCCAAGTCAGTTATGTTATTCTATTCCTCTGACAAGTGGTCATTGCCAATAATAATCTGTTCTTAATTGATTTACCTGTATACACAACCAGTCAAAATTTTGGACACACCTACTAATTCAAGGGTTTTTCTTTATTTTTAAAAATGTTTACATTGTAGAATAATATAGTGAAGACATCAAAACTATGAAATAACACATATGGAATCATGTAGTAACCAAAAAAGTGTTAAACAAATTTAATTTGTGGAATTTCTTTCAAATAAGCAAAGAGAAACGACAGTCCATCATTACTTTAAGACATGAAGGTCAGTTAATATGGAACATTTCAAGAACTTTGAAAGTGCAGTCACAACAACCATCAAGTGCTATGATGAAACTGGCTCTCATAAGGACCGCCACAGGAAAGGAAGACACAGAGTTACCTCTGCTGCAGAGGATAAGTTCATTAGAGTTACCAGCCTCAGAAATTGCAGGCCAAATAAATGCTTCAGATTTCAATATGCCATTTAGCAGATGTTTTTATCCAAAGCGACTTACAGTCATGCGTGCATAAATTTTTACGTATGGGTGGTCCCGGGGATCGAACCCACTACCCTTTCGTTACAATCGCCATGCTCTACCAATTGAGCTACAAGTCACAGACAAAAACATCAACTGTTCAGAGGGGACTGTGTGAATCAGGCCTTCATGGTCAAATTGCTGCAAAGAAACCACTACTAAAGGACACCAATAAGAAGAAGAGACCTGCTTGGGCCAAGAAACACGAGCAATGGACATTAGGCCGGTGGAAATGTGTCCTTTGGTCTGGAGTCCAAATTTGAGATTTTTGGTTCCAACCGCCGTGTCTTTGTGAGACGCAGTGTGGGTGAACGGATGATCTCCGCATGTGTAGTTCCCACCGTAAAGCATGGAGGAGGTGGTGTTATGGTGTGGGGGTGCTTTGCTGGTGACACTGTCTGTGATTTATTTAGAATTCAAGGCACATTTAACTAGCATGGCTACCACAGCATAACGCCATCCCATCTGGTTTGGGCTTAGTGGGACTATAATTTGTTTTTCAACAGGACAATGACCCAACACACCTCCAGGCTGTGTAAGGGCTATTTTACCAAGAAGGAGAGTGATTGAGTGCTGCATCAGATGACCTGGCATCCACAATCCCCCGACCTCAACCCAATTGAGATGGTTTGGGATGAGTCGGACGGCAGAGTGAAGGAAAAGCAGCCAACAAGTGCTAAGCAAATGTGGGAACTCCTTCAAGACTGTTGGAAAAGCATTCCAGGTGAAGCTGGTTGAGAGAATGCCAAGAGTGTGTAAAGCTGTCAAGGCAAAGGGTGGCTATTTGAAGAATCTCAAATATAAAATATACATTTGATTTGTTTAACACTTTTTTGGTTACTACTTGATTCCATGTGTATTATTTCATAGTTGAGGTCTTCACTATTATGCTACAATGTAGAAAATAGTAAAAATAAAGAAAAACCCTTGAATGAGTAGGTGTCCAAACTTTTGACTGGTACTGTAAATAAAGGTGAATTATTAAACATCAATCCTACTCTCCATGAAAAAGGTTTGATATTAGTGGTAAGAGAAAGCTATGTTTGCTTCCATCATGGATAGTGAACAATTTCGACTCATTGGAATGCCACTGAGGTGGTTGGATAGACCTACACAAATACTTTTTATTAACCAAAGGTCAAAGTGCAGCAACTGAAGTCTGACATGCTTTGATTCTCTAATCTGTTTTTGACTGGATGACCAGTGTGAGGATTAGATCAAATAAGAGGTCAATTATATTTACTGCACTGCTCTTCTTGTTTTCTTTTCAGAGTTTCTTTTCTTCCTCCAGTCTGGCGTACCATGTCCACAAGTCCCATGGTGGCAGACACAAGCAGTCATCATCAGCACACACCAAGACTGACAGTCAGCCATATGGCTATAGGCCAGACCTGGGTTTGAGATACAGGGTCAAGGTAGGAATAACACACCTAATGATGTCAATAAAGGTCTGTTGCCTGCCCCATTACTTGTATAACATAGTGTTTTAAAGCAGGTTTGGGGTCAATTCCATTTTAATTCAGTCATCGAAATGGAATTGACCCCAACCCTGGTTCAAAGTAGATACCATGAAAGAAATGTTAGTGTATTATCAGCAGAATGTTTATTAAAGCTCCCATGCAGACTTTGTACTTTTATTTTTAAATCACTGTATTCTAATAAATCACTGTTTACTTAATTAAAATAACTAAAATATATTTATCATTTATTTTCCTGAGCCTCCTTTGGCCCTTGAAATTCTGTCTAATCGTGTGGGCACGTTAGGAAACAAATTTAAATATATTTACATACACAGCCCTGATTGGCTGATAGGATGGTCTAGCGCCCACCCCCTTACCCAGATGAACAGTCATTGGTCTATTATAAATCAGATCATCATTGTGACATCATGATGTGGGTTCTACTAAGCTATATGGAATTGTTTTAAGGTCATACCAAGGATCATTTAGCTATTTGATTTTGAATTTTAAGACTCGTTGAAGTATCAAAAATAAATTAAAAATACTGCTATTAGCCCATACAAACACATTGAATAACAGATTCACTACATGGAACAACATACAGTCCCCAAAAAAATATCAAAAGGAAGTTTGTTCTGAAGTGTCTCTCCTATATGTTTTTTTTTAACATGTATTTAACCCCATATTTTGGGCATTAAATAGTCTCCATATATACTTCCTTACATTTTTTCAACTGGTATCAGGGGACCTTCAGACGAGTCTTGTGAGGCCTGTGGGCATCCTAGAGCAAAACATGTACATGTTCGTGAGAGTATCATCTTTCCATAGAGGGGTCAAAATAGTTTGTAGGACATTCGGAACGCTACAGGCGATTTTGTGTCATGGTCTGACAAACACCGCTCTAGCTCTATCACCTTTCACCTCAGATGCAGAATTGCGACAGGCGGATGCGGTTGATTGAGCATCTGCAACATCGGCGGATGTGGTGGATTGAGACGTACCCAATGCAAAAAAAAAACGATCTCTATCTTAAAACAGACATTTTTTTATGCTAATGAGATTTCTGCGGGGGCGCGGACATCTACTTTAGGGGGTTTAAAGGTTTTTATGCCAGTTATAAACTATATACAGGAAAACACACCACAATAAACCTTATACATAACTATATAGCCTATACTATATGACCTATATTTGTTTTTGTTTGGTGTAAAAAATTAAGATGAATTAAAACGCAATAAAAATAAATAAATAAGTATATGGCCATGTGTTTCAGGAGCGTACGTTTGGCTGTAAGGTGTGTGGGAAAGTGTTCAAGCGCTCCTCCACCCTGTCCACTCACCTGCTAATCCACTCTGACACACGGCCCTACCCCTGTCAATACTGTGGCAAAGGATTTCACCAGAAATCTGATATGAAAAAACATACATTCATTCACACAGGTGAGTCGATATGTATTCTATGGAAATAGGGATCTTGTCTTTGTCAGTCACGTTCGAAACATATTAACTATTTTATATATAAAAATAAATAAACAATGTGAGTGGTAGGGGCATGTGGTGCCTGTTAAAATTTGTAGTGACTACATGCCAGAGTATGGCGACGTGGGAAGTGATTTGGCCTTTAAAATAAATAAAACAGCCACCGCATGCCCCTATCACTCATTGATTTGGAATAAGTTAGCTGAAGTTTGTAGTGGCTGTTTTAATTAAAGAAACCTGAACCAAGCATTATAGTTTTTCCTGGCCACTAGACTACCTTCAGGGTGAGGAACCATCTAACATTAAGTTATAAAAGAATGAACTTCCCTTTAATACTATTTCCCCTCTGCCCTCCTTTCCCAGGTGAGAAGCCCCATGTGTGCCAGGTGTGTGGCAAAGCCTTCAGCCAGAGCTCCAACCTCATCACCCACAGCCGTCAGCACAGTAGAAACCAGCCCTACCACTGCCTCTATGGCTTCCAGCGCAAACAGGACCTGAGACAAAACCAGGAGAACCACTGTACATAGAGCTTTAGACTAAGACCCTGGCTAAGAGCTGATCTGAGCTCAGTTTTCACAATCGGGAGAACCACAATGACGACAGCAACTCAGACACCCTCACATGGTCATAGCTGGCCCCAGTTAATTTTTTCATTATAAGGGGCACCACTGCACAAGCTAAACAGAAGCTGGGGATGGATGGAAGGGATGGATGCTTCACTCAAAATTCTAACATTTACCTTGACTGTAGTCGAATCCCGACTATATATTTTTCCTATATATATATATATATATATATATATATATATATATATATATATATATATATATATATATATATATATATATATGTGTGTGTTATATATTCAGTGTCATCATTGGGTCATATCTGAAAATAGGTCAAAAACACCTTAGAAACATTCCAATCCAATTTATATTCCAAAAGTATGCCTTTTTTAAGTGTGCATTAAAAAATATTTGTTATCCACTTTCAGATAACAAGATTCATATTATGAATGATCATTGTTTTATTTAAGTGATCAAACTCCCTTGCTTTTTAATGAGTTACCTCTCAAGGGGTGGTTTTAAAGGTATGTCACTTTGAGATAAAATAAGTTAAACAGTGCAACGCCCACGTAGGTTCTGGAAATCTCTGGAACTGAATCATCATCTTAATTCTCTGGAACGGAAACATTTACCTGGATTTAAATACCTGTGATGGGCTGAGAATGCCCCCCTCTCTCTCAGTCAGCACTACCCTATAAAAGCACAACCATCTCTCCACTCTGCACTAAAACGCCTGATCCCTACAACCTTCAAGCCCTCCACTGCACCACCAATGAAGAACACAGACACAGGTAAATACATTATTTAGAATACATGCTTTAGGTTTTAAGTCACAATTGGCCTCATTGTGACCTCATCCCCAGACTTAATTACTACAGAGAGAGAGCTGGCTGGGGACAAGATTAGCCTCATGGTGACATAGGGACCTTACAGAAATGCGTGTATGGGGTACATTACAGCAATGGATCAGTCATTCAAAAATCATGCTAACACCTATTATTGCACACAGAGCGAATCAATGCAATTTATTATTCGATTTGAAGTAAACTAATTTAAGCTTGCCTTAACAAAGGGGGGTGAATATTTATTATAGGCACTGTATGTAGTGTAACATCCTGATGCTGGTGCTGTGAATAGTAGTCTACTATTTTAATTCAAATTCAATAAATTAATTGGAATTCTCAAATCAGTTCTGATTTGACACCCACCCTGGTCTCGTTTCAAGACTTAAAAACAGTTTTTTTTAAAACAGTTTCAATCAGTATATAGACCAAGACATCAAAATACGTATGTACTGCCAGTTTATGCAATGAGTGGTAACTGACACTTAATTTACATTTCAGTATCTTCAATGCCTGCTTTCCATTTACATTTGGAGCATTTCATTGTCTCTCTTCCTCTCACCCTCTCTCTGTCCCTCTCCATCGTAGCAACAATGGGTTAGGGAAAGAGTGCTCCAGCTTCAGTCACAAACAGCCATGACGACAGCCATGACGACAGCCATGACGAATCAGGTGTAAACGTATCAGACCAAAGCATATCAGGTGGGAAGGGCGGTATTTCAATTGGCAAATCACCAATTAGGCCGGTATGTAACCTAGTCCAGCAGGAGGGAGTCTATATAATTTCAAACATTTATATTTTATTATTGTGCAATGCCACTTAGCCTATGTGGCCCATCCCATATGGGATTATAAGACACATTTATATTAGACTTTTCAAAGAATAAGCAATTCCATGTCCATATAGAGTGAGCTCCAAATGTATTGGGACAGTGACATTTTTTGTTATTTTGGTTCTGTACTCCAGCACTTTATTATTATACAATGACTATGGAGGTTAAAGTGCAGACTGTTAGCTTGAATTTGAGGGTATTTCCATCCATATCAGGTGAACCGTTTATAGATTACAGCACGTTTTGTACATAGTCCCCCATTTTAGGGGACCAAAAGTATTGGGACAAAATCTGTGTGTATTACAGTAGTACTAAGTGAAGTATTTGGTCCCATATTCATAGCACGCAATAACTACATCAAGCTTGTGACCAAAAACATTTGTTGGATGCATTTGCTGTTTGTTTTGGTTGTGTTTCAGATTATTTTGTGCCCAATAGAAATGAATGGTAAATAATGTATTGTGTCATTTACAATATAATATTTTTCTAAACACTTCTACATTATGTGGATGCTACCACGATTGAGGCTCATTCTGAATGAATCGTGAATAATGATGAGTGAGAAAATGACAGAGACATAAATATCATACCCCTCCAAAGATGCAAACCTCCCCTGTTATTGTAATGGTGAGAGGTTAGCATGTCTTGGGGATATGATATTTGTGCATCCACTGTTTGACATCTTCCAAGCAGATTATGTTGAGGGTCACCCCAAATCCTACATGATCACTGACGACAAAGGGGTCACCGGAAAGATCTGTGGGGGATGAGGACGGGGTGGATCACACCCCCAAAAAGTAATGCCTCACGGGAACCTCCTGTATCTTAACACCCTTTATTAATCACAGATTATACTACATAAAAATAATTGTAGATAAATAGGGTGTGTTCTTACTGCTAGTGCTTCCACATACACTATTGGTATATGGTCGAAATCAGCAAAGTAATCACTGTAGTTTTATGACAAATAAATAAATGTTACCAAACTGAGGAAACAGTGTATTCTGCAAGATGTTATTATGGCAAGTAACTCTGTGTGTGTGTGTGTGTGTGTGTGTTACTCAACTGGAAAACAGAAACCAACTGTTTTTCAATGGCTTAACCTTCTCACAATGGAAAAAGTTACAGCATCCACCAAAGACAAAACAAACTCCTTCAACGAAAACTGGACCCCACTCCTCAACTCATTGCAGCTACGGATGAGCTGATCCCACCCTAGTTTTTCCTCTAACACCCAAGTTGCTATTTATTTTTAGCTAATATATTATTATATTGTTATCACACAATGACTAACAACCAGCTGTATTGATAAAGACCTGGGTTTGAGCTACAGGGTCAAAGTAGGAATAATACACCTAATGAGGCCTGTCATGGTACTAACTACATAGATAATAAAGGGTTCCCTTTCAGTCGGTCACTCGGTACATACAGTGCATTCGTAAAGTATTCAGACCCCTTCACTTTTTATGTTACAGCCTTATTCTAAAATGGATTAAATTGTTTATATTCCTCAATCTACACACAATACCCCATAATTACAAAGCAAAATCTGTTTACAAATGTTTGCAAATGTATTACAATTAAAAAAGTAAATATCACATTTACATAAGTATTCAGACCCTTTACTCAGTACTTTGTTGAAGCACCTTTGGCAGCGATTACAGCCTCGGGTCTTGGGTATGACGCTACAAGCTTGGCACACCTGTATTTGGGGAGTTTCTCCCATTCTTCTCTGCAGCTCTTTTCAAGCTCTGTCAGGTTGGATGGGGAGCGGCGCTGCACAGCTATTGTCAGGGCTCTCCAGAGATGTTCGATCGGGTTCAAGTCCGGGCTCTGGCTGGGTCACTCAAGGACGTTCAGAGACTTGTTCCGAAGCCACTCTTGCATTGTCTGCTGTGCGTTTAGGGTCGTTGTCCTCTGGTGCAGGTTTTCATCAAGGATCTCTCTGTACTTTGCTCCGTTCATCTTTCCCTCGATCCTGACTAGTCTCCCAGTCCCTAACGCTGAAGAACATCCCCACAGCATGATGCTGCCACCACCATGCTTCACCGTAGGGATGGTATTGGCCAGGTGATGAGCGGTGCCTGGTTTCCTCCAGACGTGACGCTTGACATTCAGGCCAAAGAGTTCAATCTTGGTTTTATTAGACCAGAATATCTTGTTTCTCATGGTCGGAGAGTCCTTTAGGTGCCTTTTGGCAAACTCCAAGCGGGCTGTCATGTGCCTTTTACTGAGAAGTGGCTTCCGTCTGGCCACTTTACCATAAAGGCCTGATTGGTGGAGTGCTGCAGAGATGGTTCTCCCATCTCCACAGAGGAACTCTGGAGCTCTGTCAGAGTGACCATCAGGTTCTTGGTCACCTCCCTGACCAAGGCCCTTTTCCCCCGATTGCTCAGTTTGGCCGTGCGGCCAGCTCTAGGAAGAGTCTTGGTGGTCGAAACTTCTTCCATTTAAGAATGATGGAGGCCACTGTGTTCTTGGGGACCTTCAATGCTGCAGAAATATTTTGGTATCCTTCCCCAGATCTGTGCCTCAACACAACCCTGTCTCGGAGCTCTGACATGCACTGTCAACTGTGGGACCTCATATAGACGGGTGTGTGCCTTTCCAAATCATGTCCAATCAATTGAATATACCACAGGTGGACTCCAATCAAGTTGTAGAAACATCTCAAGGATGATCAATGGAAACAGGATGCACCTGAGCTCAATTTCGAGTCTCATAGCAAAGGGTCTGATTACTTATGTAAATAAGGAATTTATTTGTATTTATTTTTAATACAGTTGCCAAAATTTTGAAAAACCTGTTTTCGCTTTGTCATTATGGGGTATTGTGTGTAGATTGATGGAATATATTTGTAATCCATTTTAGAATAAGGCTGTAACGTAACAAAATGTGGAAAAAGTGAAGCAGTCTGAATACTTTCCGAATGCACTGTACTATTGGGAGTCAACGACGCATCGCTTACCCCGGTTTAAAGATTTTGACGATGAGCTAAAGGCAACCTGGGATTTCCCTCATTCAGCCAGGCTGGTGCTACCAGGTTATGGCAAGTTCATGAATGTAGAGGGTATGGAAGAGGCAGAAGATCTCGTACAACGCTGTGTACTACGCCTTTCACAGAACAGTGCAAACTGGCTCTAACCAGAATAGAAAGAGGAGTGGGAGGCCCCGGTGCACAACTGCGCAACAGTTTTCAGCTGTGCTAACATAATTGCAAAAGGGTTTTCTAATGATCAATTAGCCTTTTAAAATGATAAACTTGGATTAGCAAACA